TTCATATAAAATAAAAGGAAGTTCAACTTTGTTTTTATATAATCTTGCTTCTTCCAAAAAATAGAGAGTGATGGAAAAAGAATCCGAAGATTCATTAGATATGTCAGAGATTGATCTAAATGGAATCCAAAGATTCAATTAAGAAAAAGTAAATAAAAAATCTTTAAATTAAAATAATATAGAAAATTTCTTATCATTTTATTTTCTAATCACCAACTATATTCCTTAATATAAAAATAAAGGGGCATTTTCATACCAAAATATTTATACATCTAACACCTAAATTTTGCTTTTTTACATTTATATAACCCAAATCTTTAATATCACATTAAAAATACCACCAATCTAACATTTAAATACAAAGGTATTGAATCAGAATTTGTCGAGAGACGCAACTAAGGAATAAAACGTAGAAATCATGGGAGAATGAGAAAGAGAAGGAGAGGGAGGGAGAGGAATGGGCAACGACTTGCCCCTGTGGGGTAAACTGGGGTATTCTTATACTCTTATGACTAAATTTGTTTCATTAAAGATTCAGGTTACAAAGAGGGGGTGACTCGTGTAAGAAGGAAAAATGCCTCTTATACATGATATGGTCCGAAATAAGTCATAGCGTCTTGCCTAATTGAAAAGTTCCACTATAAATTGGTGATTACAAATATAACATATTATCTCACATATGGGAAATAGTTACGCAAATTTTTGAGTTACAATGTTGATGCACAAAAGTACTTGTCACTCACTATGGGGATGATCGCAGCTAAGAGTAACAGTAGGGCTTCAATACATTGTCTTCGAGGTTGGCACGAGGTTTGATATGTGCTTGATTTGATTCAAATTAGATTAATTTTGATACCGTTGAGTCCATCTCGTCAAGCTGGTCTGTTTGAATCTAAGTTAGTTGAAATCAGAGTTCTGGATGACTTTTAATTAAAGTTTGATTGTTTATTACTCAAAGTTTGTCTTGAAATTGACGTCATATCTCGAGACTCGTGCAGATGATCAAAATTCATTGATAGCATATCAATTCCATTGTAAAATTTATGATATAATTTTTTGTCTTAAACACATTTTATTTGTCTCCAACTAATTTTTTGACGGAAAATTTATTAGAAAATGTTATAATGAGTTTTACAATGATGAATTATAATGAGTTTTAAAGTCATTACAATTAGAAATCTATTAGAAAATGTTATCAATAGGATGTTTTAAATAATAATAATTATTAAAAGTTTAATAAGAAATAACGTTCCAAAATAATAATAAAATGGATCTTCTTTTTAAAAAAAATAATTGTAAAAAGCATAACAATCCAACAAGTTATCAAATGAATAAATGAATTTTTCTAAAATTTAAGACAATGTGAAAGCAAATGAGGGCTAAATCAATTTAAAATAATGTTGACAACAAAGGGCAACAAACAGGTGGCGAAGGGGGCAAGTAATTTATCAGTGGTGGTTCGTTTTGGCTAGTGGTTGTACAAGCAATGAGGGTCACCTGCTACAGCCAAAAGCAACACGAAGATAACGATGACTACCGGCTAAGCACTACAGCAACACGAAGATAACGATGACTACCGGCTAAGCAATAGGGTTTGAAGATGGCGAGCTACATCTAGTGACCCATGACAATGTAGTGGGTCGTTGTAGTGGCTGCAACAAGTGTGGTGGCCACCAATATTTGTAGTGTGCTTGAAATTGTATAAATACACTAAAAATGAACTATTTACTATCAATGTACAATTCAACCAAATAGCTATTACAAATGCAGTACACTTCTTTGTTAGCCAACCAAACAACCCCTGACACAAAAACAAGCATTATAGATTTATTTGAAGGCAATAATTATGAAGGTATCTTCAATTTAATAATAAGAGTAAATTGTTTCTCTATATTTTGGATTTTTGAATCATAGCTCATCATTTAGGAAAAATAATTCAGCCTTTAAGCCTGACTCGTGGCATTTAACTACATTATGGAAGATTTACACACATACCCCTCAATTCCTATTTATTTATATTTCAACACCAAATTTTAACTTTTTACCTACATACCATCTTATTTATGCTTGAAAATGTGTCTTTTTTACTTCTTAAATGTTGAAATTGTAATATTGTTGATGCTATATGAATGATTTGAAGGGTGTATATGTAAAAATTAAAAGTTATGTGTTGGATATGCATATACATGAGAATTGATTGGGGTGTATATATGTAAATTCCCCCTTAAATACTTTAGCAAAGCCTCAGTCCAGGCAGGCAAAAGAAAACAAACTGTACGCCCCATTTAATAATTTTAAAAAAATACACGGACATCGCCCACGTTCTTGGAATTTTAAAGCTCCTCGCAGCTTCATGTGAAAGTTCTAACAGCTGATAATTGTATTCCACGTGTCATGTTTACTTAAGATGAGTACGTTTTTTTGGTCAAATTTTAGGTCGCCATATTATTACAAAAAAATATAAATAAATAATTTTTCGTAATGATTTACATGTACGTTGCAGACTTGCAGGTCGGTGCCGCGAGAAATCGGGTTATCAAAAATTATTCTATACGAAAGCGTATGCAGAAATATATGCGCTGCTTGATCAAGATGAGTATGTTTCTTGGTCAAATTTTGGTCGCTATATTATTACTAAAAATTATTCCACGTGTCATTGTTTAGTTAAGATGGGTACGTTTCTTGGTCAAATTTTCGTCGCTATATTATTACCAAAAATATAAATAAATAATTTTTCGTAATGGTTTACATGTACGTTGCAGGCCGGTGTCACGAGGAATTGGGTTACTAAAAATTATTTCATACGAAAGCGTATGCAGAGATGCATGCGTTGTTCGATCTCGTCGGTTGATTATAGTAAATGTGTATTTTAGTGGGCCTCATTTTTAGTTTTTTTTTATAAAAAAAGTTTGATCGACGGTCGAGATCGGGCAATACATGCATCTTTGCATATGTTTTCCGTATGGTATAATTTTCCCTCGATCAATATCTGAGGATCATCGCATGCCTTCTATCTAACACGAAAAAGCTTTTCCGTCCATCCATTGCCTGCCACGTATCTATCATCCAGCGCAATCGTCCGCCACATGTGGAAAATGGGCCTGTCTCTTTCCTTTTCTTATTTAGTCACAGAAGGAAATTATTATAAAAGTGGTGCATTTATGTACATGGACCAGGACCACCCTGTTATGTATTCACATATCTCACACCTAAATTTTATATTTACATATGTAGCATTATATTGTTTAATATCATATATTAAATATCACTAGTAATATTTTCTAAAGTTAAATACATATTTTTGCATAAATTTAAAATAATAAAATGTTATATAAATTTTATTATTTATACAGAAAAATTATAAATTTCAGGAGGGGCAAGTGCCTCTGAGACATAACTTGATTTTGCTCTGTATATGCAAAGGTAAATACATTAATTGTGCTTCATATATAACTTTTCCTATAAAATAATGTTTTTTGCTTGAATTTATTAGTTTGTTATTATTATTTTTTTAATTTTCAAATATTGTGCTAGTTAAGTTTATAACCTTAACAATATTTAACATAACATATATCTGTATTTTTTTTTAATAAAATGTATTTATTTATTTTTGATACACCAACAATAAATTTTCATCATCCGACACGAATCTCAAAGCAATATTTTGAGCAAGAGATACTTAAATCTTGATAAAAAGTCATCCAGCGCTCCGATTTCAGCAAGCTTATAATCAAATTGATTGGCTCGATGAGAAGAACCTAATGATATGAAAGTTAGACCAATCTGAGTCAAATCAAGCCCAAGTCAAGTGATTAAATTATTCTTAGAAGATTTCCGGACATATTTAAAAGATCAAATGAATGTCGAATTCAGCAAGTTCATAATCGAATCGAGCGTCTCGACAAGACGAATCCAACGAGCCCAAGATTGCTCTATTCCGACATCGTTAAGACACTCAAATGTCTATCAAACGTCATCCGATCAAGGGAAGCTCTCCGGACCGTCCGATCAAAATGATTCATACTCTCGGATTAATTGCACCCAAAACACTATAAATAGAGTCTCACCCCTCACATGAAAAGGAGAGGTTTAAGAGAGAACTTGAGGCTTGGAGAAAGAGCTCAAGTCCAAGATCAACAATCATCGACCACCATCGATTGTCAGCGACCACCGTCGGCCACTGTCGATATCCCCGACCTCCGTCGACCATCGCTGA